AGAGGACAATTAGCCTCTCTTTGCAGATGAGGAAGCTGGGGCTGCGGCAGGTAAGGGAAACTGCCCTCGGGCACAGAGTACTTAGGTAGGTACCTGGAAAGCATGCTCGGGTCTCAGCTCTTCCAGAGCCCAAGTTCGGTTCATTTTGAGCTTTGCATTCCTGGAGGCATTTTTGCTTTGTCATGAGCGCACTTTTAATGAAGGAGAACTTTGCCAAATGGAAAGCAGATAATGAGATATTTGGGATGCTTTGCAGTAAATAAATCTCTTTCAGAATTCTCATCTTCTCCCACTCAAACTGCTAAAGCCATAGCAGTAACAATTACCTCAGCCTGATTGCAGCCACGTGGGAGTGAACTCTCTTAATTCTATTGCTCAGTGTAGACACTGGAGACCAACAAAACTTTCCTTTAGTTTGCTGAGCCATGGGTCAGAAATTGAATCTATCAGCTATTGGCTCTCTCCATCAGCCTTCTCTCGCCCCTCCTGTTGTAGCTGTGTCTTGAACACCACTACTTGAGGGGAGAAACAGCTTAAAATTGGGTGAACATTAAAAATATCAGAAATGTCTGTGTCAACCTGTTTCCTGAATAGAGGAGACTTAGAGCACCATTTGACCACAGCTGCCTGAGACCTGAGGAGGGCCTGTTTTTTAATAAAAGGTAATCTTAACATTTTTCCCTGGGAATTTCCAAATATCCCTTGTGGAACAGAGGCTGGAACAGAAATGTGGCTATTACTGTATGATAGACAGCTGAATTTGAAGCCAGAGCCTCACACTGATATTCAAGAAGAATACACATGTCTACTCATGCTGGGTGTTGAGAGGATCTGAGGGGTATGAAGACAAGTGAGTCTCAGCATCTATTACGGGACAGGAAAGGTAGGCTGTAATAATCTGTGATGCGAGGGGAAACGTACCACTTACTGCCTGTCTGCTGTAGACCAGGCAGTGTGTTGAGCACTTTCTGTAAGGACATGGCAAAATGGAGTATGACCCCATTTCTAGGGGGAGAAACCAAGACTCAGAACAAGGCATCCTTGGCTAACAGCTCTTTGTTAATGTAGTTGGGATTCAAACTCAGGTGGTTCTAGTGGCAGACTTATGTTTTTCCCCCACATTTTGTTGTTAATTAGGGAGGATACCTTTGATGTTAATGGTTTAACTTATCAGGTACCCATCCCTTCATGGGATTTTAAGGGTTAGGGAGTTAGCTTGTCAAGTTGCCTAATCTTTTGAGATGATCATTTTGGACCTGGGGATATTTTTAAGAATCTGGGCAAATCAAATAGTTTTCAGCTTTTTAAATGGATTGTGCAAAACAGAAAACCTCACCCATTTCTTGTGCATTTCTGTTTGTGGGCTGAAGCTTATGGATGGTGTTTGATGGGGGTTAGATATCATTTGGCTACATTACATGGTAACAGATAATGGTTTTGAATTTTGACTTGGCTACTTTAAAATGGTTGTATCAGCTCAGCAGGAGTCAACAGTTTGATGGGCTACCGAACAGCCAGTCTCCAGCAAAGTCTCTACGATGGGGGAATGGTCAGAGCTGAAATACTGTGTTCAGTTCCGGGCAATGCATGTTAAGACAAATATAAAGCAATTAGGACACATTCAGGAGAAACTGGATAGGAATGGGGAAGTGAAATCTGGATGTTTGGAGGAATAGGGCTGTGCAGTGAAGAGAAGATCTGAAGGGCTGAGATAGCAGTGTTCACCAAGCAGGGCTGTCTTATGGAAGAAGAATCTAAGGTTTTTTCTCTGTGGCCCCAAGGGATGTAACTAGACGCAACAGGCTCTGGGGAAGTAGATTTGTCCTTACACAGAAGAATTTGCTGTTATACCTACCCAAATCTATTGAGTTGTTACTGTTTAGAAAGCGGAGACCTGAAGGTGTTAGAATATGGGTCAGGTACTTGGTAGAGCCACTGTAGAGGAAATGCAAGGGTACCGCGGGGATTGGATTTCACAAGCAGCGAAGACCTTCCCAACCCTGAGCACTTCAGTAGCTGCTGGACTGTCCTTCCCAGCTGTGTTTCCTCCTTGGTCACCAGTGGTGGGCTTGGCTTGTGGGGGACAGACGGGTGGATGGATGGATGACAGGGGATGGGAAAAGTCCACGAAGGCAGAGCAGATACTTGGACCATTCTGATTTGATCTGCCGTTTCTCTCTGCCTTGCCTACACCTCACTTTCTCGCCTTAGACTGGGCACCCGGGGGTCTTTGGCTATAACTGTAATTCATGATGCTCAACTTAGCACACTGTTTCATGCATTGTCAGATATGAGTGTGACTTGACAATGATTTTATCAAGTGTCAAATCAGATACCAAGTCTTGCTGGGCTCCAGCAGTAAGACAGTCTAACTTGGCTGCCTGTGCAAACTCTAGCTTCAGGTTTGTAAAACTTGTGGCTGCCTCCCCACTCTGGGGGAAGACTGAACCTGAGTTCTTTTCCAAATTTCAAAGAGATGGAAATTTCTGGACACCCAAGAGACAGAGAGAGAACTAATCAAAGGGTTTCACAAACACTTACCTGAAAGTAGCTTTAAAAATTACCCATATACTGGCTACACTGCTGCCAGCTCAGAGTCAAGTAGGAATCTTCAGCCGTTTTGAGCCTCTTTTTTATTCCTTTTTGCCACTTAAAGACTGAGTGTGATTGAGAGAATGTTTTTGCTCGTAGCTGACAACTGAAGTCTTGGAGAGTCAACCAGAAGTATCCCAGCAACAAGAGTGGGAGTTTAGCCATTTTGTTGTTGTCCTCAGGGCAGACACTGTGGGCTCACAGCAACATGTAGTCTCAGTGACCTCAATTGTCACACACAGCAGCAGGTTTCTCTCTAATCCATACAGAGCAATAAACAGCAGGGACGTATGATTTATGGACCAACAGGCATTTTAAGCATGGGTTATGTGGGTACTTCAGTTCCCTCCTTACTGAGGCTACACTGCCTGTCCTTCAGAGGGGACGCCAAGACCTTGGTAGAGCCCATTAATTACATTTAAGCCCATGAATTGATGTCAGAGGTATTAGGTTCATGGAGATTTTCAAAATCCTACTAAATGGGTTTAGAGGTAGCTGTTGCTCAGCTCCAGTTAGTCCTTTGGGCCAGGGTTTTTCCTAGGCCCCAATAATCATCCAAATTAGCTTCAGGAGGCTTGTTTCTTTTGCTTACAATGTATACATAGCAGCTAAGTCCCCAAGGGGAAGGGATCCTCTGTAGTTGTGAGTTTGACCCCAATCTGTGGGCTCCTTTATAATTAAACTCTGATTACTCTGCAGTTACTTGAACTCCACTCCTCTGTACTCAGTTTTCGACACTACTAATTTGCAGTAGATATATGTATCTTGTGTTCTTAACACATTGCTTCACAGAGGGCCATCAATCCAGGAAGACCTAGTCTGCTGCACATTTATGAGGGAGTTGAGTATTATTTTTGGTGCTTTCTCACCGTCAACCTCAGCCTACCTCCCCACCAGACACCATTCCTGCTTCACCCTATCTCCACAGCTCCTGTCCCATAAAACGTGGCCCACTCCTCAGCCTGTTTTCCCCTTGTCCTGCTGAACCAGTGGCTGATGGTGGTTTAAGTAAAGGCAGCACTTCTCCTGAGGCTATTTATATTTCAACAAAAATCCTTGGAGATTACATATTTGAAGTACTGAATCTCTATGATTAAATTTTAAGCAGTGGAAAGCAACAGCATTAGATGGAGATGATGGGCATTGGGTCCATTACACAGGACATGGGACTAACACGACTCTCACTTTGGTTCAGATACATGGTTATCACAATAGGACAGTGATAAATTTTCACATGCCATTTCTGGACTGGTGTGGGGGAAAATGAAAGAGGCAACTGGTCGGGGCATTGTTTGGCCTAGGGAGAAAGAAGATCCAGTACTTGGGCAATTTATTTATTTTAACTTTTGTTTGTTGGGGGTGGGAGAGCAGGTAGGGGAGCTCATACAGAGTGCAAGGAGCTGTGGAGAATGCAGAGAAAAGGAATCATGGCCTCACTTTCAGAAAGGTTCCTACCCTGTGTTTTGGGGAATAAGACGCTTTCATTAATAGACTAGTCATTAATAGACAAGCCTGAAAAGCAGAATATAAAAAGAGTTATCGTCGAGGAAAACTAACAAGCTATGAAAATGTGTGAGGTCCGTTCTCCCTAGAGTATCTATCTGGAAATGCTTCTTGTTGAAAGTGGGGTTTTAGTTGAACTCAAATTGTACTTTGGAAATGTGCACTTTTGAAAAGGAAGGACTTGAATAGGGACATGAGTGCTCTTTTTGGGGGAGGGAAGTTTGGCAGAGTTGAGTGGGGGCCAGGAGGTGAGTTGTACTCATCTGGAAGATTCAACAGTTTATAATAAATATAATAAATAAATATAAATATAATATAAATATTATTATACCAGGACCATTTCTGTCTCTCTGGGAACCTGGAATCTTCTGCATTACTCCTTTAAAATTGCTCAGGACAGCAAAGCTTCAAGACAGAGGACTCTCTCCCCCATCCTGGTGTCGCCTTGTGACATCTATAAAATAGATGGACCTGAGGACACATGCAGACCCTTCAGCCCTCTGAAGATTCCCCTCACAGGGCCTTCAATCATGACCCAGGCGCATGGCTTCCATGCACCAGCTAATTCCAGATTTTGTCATGTGCACTCAGTGAGTTTGTCATGGTGTCATGTGAAATGTGGTATCCAGGCATCTTTCACACAGAAGGCTGATCAACATAGGAGCTTGGATACTGCTGCTCCTTGAAAAGGCTGATGGATGCCTTTGGTGCTTACATGAAACCTCATTTACAAAACTCTGGAGATATGGGTGTAGATGATAAATACAGATAGATAGTTAGATCATAGATAGATAGATACAGGTGACAGGTAGCTCATACATAATAGATAATAGATGATAAAATTTAATTAAAGAACATTCCAGGAAAGATTTGGAAAACAGCCTTTATTGCACATGTTTATATTGTCATGTGATGTTGGACTGAATGCTGGGCCTTCCTTCCTTTTTCCTGCCACTAGCATTCTGTCTGCCACTGTCCCTGTGGTCCTTTCTTCTCCTGGAAGTGACAAAACAAATCAGGCAGAAAAGAGAGAGACCAGAAGGATACAACTCTGCTAGTTAGAGTCACCCTTCACCTTTGTCTTAAAGCTCAGAGCCATGCACACCACAGTGAGCTTGTTTCCAGATCAGCTACAGCAAAAAGAAGGTTCCGGAACATGTCCAGACCTCTTGGGACCTCATTTCCATGTGTCTCCCTCACCACTTTCCCCTTTCTCCTGAGGGCTATGTCCACAGTCAGGATGAGATCCCAGCTTAGGCTGAAGGCTCTGAGACCTCAAACCTCTGGTGCTGCTGGGCCCCCTGTCCTCTCTTCCGACCACTGCTGGCTCTTGAGATTGTGTGGCGCTCTGCTTAGAAGAGCTTCCTGGAGAATTTCCTCTTAAGTTGAGGTCGTGGAGACAGTGAGAAAACAGTCAAAACACCCACACCCCCTGTAAGCAAAGGGAGGTCGATCCCCAGGAAGCACTGGCGATGCCACAAGCTGACACAGCTGCAGAGCCTCAGATAACCCAGGACAGCCCTACAGGCCCTTCCCTGAGACTCCTCTGGGCCCTCGTGATGTAGGCAGAAGACTATGCCAACATCAGGCCTTACTTCTCCCGAGAGGAGGCCACACCACTTTCCAGGAGGTTCTGGCTTGAATCTCAGTTGCTGTGTGGAGATTCACTTCTTAGTGAGAAAGACACTGTTTAGGTAAAGAGGAAAGGTCCTCTGTTAGCCATTGGAAATTTTCAGAACTTCCTGGGGACACTGGAAACCTCAGGGTAAATTTCCTACAAGCCATGACTTTATGAAATGCCCAGGCAAGAAGCCGGGGGGGCCTGGGTATCCCCACTCCAGTTGTTCCCTGAGTGGACAAAGCCACCACCTCTCCCCGACAAGGGCAGGAACCCGCATGGAAGAGACAGTGCTGGCTTCGAGAAGGCACAGCTCCCTCAGCGGCCCCAGCCCCTTCTTACTTCCTGTCATTTGGAGAATGGAACACACAGCCTGGACACTGGCTCAAGGCCCCTCTCGTGCTGAGGTCTTCGTGTGTGGACTGCTCCTCCTCGTTCTCTTCTTGTTGCTTGTCTTCCTCCTCCGCTTCCTCCTGGGCACCCTCTGCCATCACCCTGCCTGTCAGCTGAGCCATGGTGAGGTGGAAGACACGGCAGCTGAAGCGCTCGCTGACCCTGTACTGCACCTGCTCCTGGAGGCTCCCCAAGGTGGAGAAGACGCCGCAGTAGGCCAGGCACCGGAAGCCGGTGTCCATGGTCACCAGCCAGTCAGGGCTCTTGCTCTGGGTCCCGCCTCGATGTCAGAGGACCCTGGTGGGTTACCTGAGTCTTCCCTTTCTTCATGCTCTTCCTCGTCCTCACTGGGCTCGCTGTGAGACAGGAGGCTTCTGGTGGACACATCAGAGGGAGGAGTACCTACCCACACGATGTCAGGAAGGGTCGCCTCTTCCATCCTCGGCTGCTTGTCTAGTGAGTCTGAGCCTTCCTCTCTGTCTCCCAGCAGACAGCCACCCTCTTTTTCACTTGTACCCGCATGTAGTAGATTTTCATGCCCCTTTCCTCTTTGTTTAGACACAGAGAGGACACACACGTCTTATGGGACGAAGGGGACGAGAGGGAGATGTGTTGTGAGGGGGGGTCAGTCTCCCCTCATTCCTGAACCTCTGCTGGGTGTGCTAGAGGCAGGGGACTGTCTCGTACTCTCCAGATTCCTGGGAAGGGAAATTAGAAATATCAGAAGGTGCCTGGACTACATGGGAAGCTGAGAGAACAAGCATGAATTCTTGTGGCATTGGGGAAAGGATTGTGGGGTGGCCGGTCGTGTGCTGCTCACATTACGGGGTGGCGTCTCTGGCAGCATCAGGGCCTCTTCGTTGGCATGGGTATGGATGCCGGACATGTGTGTCTGTACACAGGTTGTGGAGTGTGGCAGCTTGTGTGTGGGGTTGGTGGTGTGTCTAAGAGGAAGAGTCAATGGTCTCAGTGGTGTGTGATTGGTGGCCTGTGGGCTGTGATGAAGGACACAGCCCTGTGGTTCGCATGTGGGGTGTGTGCCAAGAATGGATATGTGTGGAGCATGGCTGTCTGCATGCGGCAGGTAGGCCTTGGCCACCACCCTGCTCCAGGGCTGAGGCCTGTGCTGGGGACTCTGACCTTCTCTGGACTCAAAGGCAACGGCAGAGCTGACACAGCTCCTCTCAAGGGACTCCTCTGGTCCCTTTACTCCCACCTCAAGCCCAGACCGTTCTGCCCTGTTACCTAAGCTTCCCCATCATGGCTGCAAGGGGGGTCGGCGTCCCCCACACTGAGTCATGCCCTTGCACCCCTGAGCTCCTCCACAGAGCCCCCATCACCTCTATTTGGCGCATGGTTTGTGCTCACAAGAAATTATGCAACATGTAACTTTTCCTGATTATGTGGCATGGTTTGTATTCATTCACTCATTCATTCACTGAACATGGTCAGTGAGCAGCTATTATGTATTAGGGGCTAGTCCACTGTTCTTGGCCCTGGTAAATGCTGAACATGTATAGCAAATACATAATATGTCAGGTGGTGGCAAGTGTGTAAATGTTGCTAGATTTAGCAAACAAAAATATAGTATACCGAGTGAAATAAGAATGTCAGATAAACCTCGAATAATTTTTTAGTGTCAGTATTCCCAAGCACTATTGGTGTTTTACTTACTTTTAGTGTGGGTATGTCCCATACAATAATTGGGGCATACTCACACTAAAAAATTTTTTGTGGCTTATCTGAAATTCAAATATAACTGGACATCCTGTATTTTATCTGACAACCCTGATAAGGGTTGATGGATCTGTTTTATTGTGGTTTGTGCAAGCTGGGTCTGGGATTACTAGACTGTGTTGTGAGTAAGGTAGGGGTGACATATGAGTGGTTTTTATAAACATACTGAGAGGAAGTCAGGGGTAGCTGTGTGTGCAAGAGATGAGCGGACATAGAGAGTGCATGTGTATATATATCTCATTTCCAGAGTTTGGTGCAGGGAGATAGGACTATGAGAACCTAGGATAGGAGGGATGTGTGAACAGATCTGTGTGCTCTGTGTATGGTTAAATAAAGAAGTCGTGTGGAGATGTGCAATTGTTTTCTGTATCAGTATGTATATAGGTGTATGAGTGACTGCCACACAGAAAACCTTTAAGGAGAATTCTGTATACACTCTTCATGCACTGAGAATGTCCCAGGTCCAGGCCTGGTCACAGGAAACTTACCACGCAGGCTTCACGTCTGGTGGGCACTTCAGCCCCATCCTCCCCACTGCCACCCAGCACAGGCATACGGAGACAAAAATACCCTGAAGTGTAAGGGGCTGGGCCAATCACTGCCTTCTCCATCCTATCCCAGCTGCTGCCTACCGTCCCGGCCTCCATTGCCAGGGCTCATCCTACAGTCTTCAGGGCCCAGGCTTCTAGGAAGCTGCCAGGTTCTAATGTGGGGCCGTCTCCAGCTGGATCTCTGGGGTGGGCTCCCTTCTGCCCCACCTCCTACATGTGACCACCCCCTTTCTCAAGCCAAGTTCCTTGTTTGCATTTAATGCATGCAGTCACCACGTGGCCTGGGAGGTCGAGTACGGCCCTGACATTTCTCACTCATCCCCATCTCTCTGGTCCCAGGCTCCAGAAAGCCCTCCCCTTCCCTGATCTCTGGAGTTCAAAAACTCCCATGGATCAACTGTTAAATTTTTCCTGCTGCAGGAATATTATCACCACACTTTCAAGGTGATGCCATCCCTGGACAATCTTACGAACAGACATTTCACCACTCAAGAGTTTTCAGCAAGGCTTTGAACTTTCTGGGCCTCTCTTTCCTCTTTGGAAAAAGGGACAGTCACACCCCCCACCCAGTGACTCCAGGGAAACAGCAAATAAAAATAATAAGAGAGCGTAGGGAAGAGAGGCTGCCCCTCTGCCTCTGGGTGAGCAGGCCCCAGCGAGCTATGGCTGTGGCAGAACTCCAGGCCCCCGCAGCCCTGGGAGAGACATCCCACGTCACACGGGGCTCAGTTCCACCTCTAGAGGCACTTGGCCTCTCTGTGCCATGTCTCAAGGCAGCAGCACTCAGCACAGACACGGTGGCCTCAGCCAACACCAGGTCTCCTGCTGCCAACCGCCCAGGTGACACAGTCCCTCTATCCCTGCTCCCCAGCGGAGGCTCGGGTGACAGCAGCCTGGACACCCCAGATGGGCTGCTGGCACCTACCCCCTTCCTTCTTGCTGGTTTCCTGGGACTCTTTGTTTTCCAGATGTTTTCTCCTCTGTCACCGTTTCATGGTTGCAGCATAGCAGCTGCTGCCTGCTCCCTTCAGGTTGGCCCTTCTTGGCTCGCAGGAGGTCCGTTGAAATGACTGGATACAAAGGTAAAAACAGTCGCATCTCCAAGTGGCTGAAGAACCAGGAGCACTTCCCACTACAGGGCAGGGCTGTTACGGTTTAAAGGTCACCAGGCCCTGTCAGGGTTCTGTGACCTCAGTGGTGACATCAGAGCATTCTGAGGACCGGTCCCACACTGTCTGCGAGGACCCAGGCCTCATCTGTGAGAACAAGTCGTGTTTCCCAGGGGACCCTCTCCCATGAATCCAACTCTTACATCTTTCAAGTATGGCAGGATATTTTGAGATGTGAATCTGTTCCTGTTTGATTTTTGTTTCTTCCTTTATTTCTACCTTTCCCTCTGCTGAAGTGGGTAGCAGACATGGTGCCCACTGGCCAGAGGACGGGGCATGGCAGGGTGGACAGCAGCAGCTGGTCACCTTGCCTTTTATTTCTAAAATCCTGGGCTCCATAGAGAAGACAGCATACATGACAAAGCAGGATTTCTGAAATTAGGCACCACCTTCTTTCCATTTATCCTATAGAATTCTCCACAGTTTAGAGTTGGTCGATTATATTCTTCTGATGTCATTTAAGATATTCCTCTCTACCTGTATTTCCTAGGAAACAGGTAGTTAGATCCAGAGAATTGATTATCTTTAGATTCAGTTTTGGTTTATTGCAAAATTATTTTATCAGCAGTGCTATTGTACCTTCCTATATATCACGACAGGAAGCACATAAACTTGTCACATTTTTAAGGCTGTTCAGACAAGTCATTGGGTTCAGGTGCTGTCAGCACTGAACATCCACTATGATGTTCCCCGTCAGCCTTTCAACAAATAGCGTTAACAACCACTGATGGTCAGTTACTTCATTAGGAGTGGAGATTTCATTAGGAGTTCTAATTCCATCATTCCAAAGAGGATGATTCTTAAGATGTCTTTCTGAGACCCTGAATTTCTGAAAGAACTGACCTCTCTTCAGGAAAGGAAGGCAGATTCCACCAGCACCAGCTCAGGTTTGCAAGCTGGGACAGTGAGATTTATCACAGCAAGGCAGAGCCAGATTGGGATCCACTTTGGTCATTCCTTTATTTCTTCATTCATTTTTCATTCTATAAATATTTGTTAAGTCCCTACCAGGTGCCAGGCTCTCTAGACTCCGTGGTCAAACACTTATGAACAACACAGATAAAAAGATTTTCCCTCAAGGTCCTTAAGATTTGAGAAAAGAAGACAATTTTTTAAAATAAGTAAAATTAAGTTAGATATTGACAAGTATCATGAAAAATAAAACAAGAAACTGAATTTGGGACTATAGGAAATGGAGGTATTTCCTTAAATGGGAGGTCATGGAAGTTTTCACTAGAAAGGCCCTGTTTCAGTAAGACCCGAGGGCAATGAGGGACCTCAGAGCCAAGGTTATATTTTCCAGGCAAATAGAAAAGACTGGAGGCCTGGATCAGGGGTGGCTTGTCCTGTACGAATATCACAGAGGAATCCAGTGTGGCCAGAGCCAAGGGAGAGAGAGAGAGGGTGGTAAGTGACAAGGTCAGAGGGATAATGAAGGACCCGATCATACAGGGCCTTACATAAAACCGTTGTCAAGACTTTGTCTTTTAGTCTCAGTGACAGGGAAACCTTGGAAAGTTTTGAGTGAGAAATTACATTTTAAAAGATCACTCTGATTGCCCCATGAAGAATAAAATATTGGGAGGCAAAGGCAGACTCAGAACAATGAGCCTATTGGAATAATCCAGGAGAGAGATGGTCCATAGAAAGAAAAATAGATAAACTAGACTTCATCAAAATCAAAACCATTTGCTATGTGAAAGATCCTTTTAAGAGTATGAGAAGACAAACTACAGACCGTGAGAAAATATTTACCTACCACATATTTAACAAAGGAGTAATTCTGTAAAATATAAAGAACCCTCAGACTCAAAGTAAAAAAATAGACAGTCTAATTAGAAAATGGACAAAAGACATGAAGAGATACTCCACTGAAAAGGATATACAGATGGCAATAAGCACATGAGATGATGTTTAATATCATTAGCCTTTAGGAAAATGCAAATGAAAACCAAATGAGAGATCACTACACACCTGTTGAATAGCTACAATATGAAAGAGTGACAATGCAAAATACTGGCAAGGATGTGAAGGAACTGGATTACTCATACACTGCTGGTGAGAATGTAAAATGGCAGCCACTCTGAAAGAGAGTATGGCGTTTCTTAATAAATTGAGCATGCAACTACCATGTGACCCAGCGATTGCCTTCTTGGGCTTTTATGCCAGAGAAATGAAAAACCTATATACAGAAATGTGTAGATGAATGTTTATAACAGCTCATTCATAATAGCTAAAAACTTGAAATGACTCAGTTGCCCTTTAGTGGGTGAATGGTTAAACACATGGTGGTACATCCAGAGAATGGAATACTACTCAGTAGTAAAGAGGAACAAACTTGGATAAATCTCTAGAGAACTATGTGGAGAAAATAAAGCCAATTCCAAAAGGTTACATACTGTACTATTCCATTTATAAAACATTCTTGCAATGACAAAATTACAGAGATGAAAAACAGTTAAGTGGTTAAGGAGGTGGGAGAAGTAGGTGTGGCTATAAAAGGGCAACATGAGGAATCCTTGTGATGAAACTGTTTTTTGTCTTGATTCTATCAATGTTGGTATCTTGGTTGTGATAATGTACTATAGTTTTGTAGTATCTTTCAATTAGCCAAAGTGGGTAAGGTTTACATGGGATCTCTCTGTATTATTTCTTAGCAAGTACATATGAATCTACAATGTTCTAAATATTTGAAGTTTAATTTTTAAAAAACTAACTGGGAATACATTTTTTAAAGTAAAGGTGGGTGATGATAGGATCCAGTAAATTTGCTTCTCCAAATAAATTTTTCTTACCACCCGTGCAAGTCTCCGTGGGAGACACAGTAAATAAAACCTTAACTATCCACAGGAGAGCAGTAAGTTAACAATGGAGAAAACTCTTCAAAAACCATACCTGCTGCACAAATGTTAGGTGCAACAGTTAGCCTCAGTAGCAGCAAATCTGAATACTTTTAAACTAGAAGGACTTTCAAATTCTGTAATCTAACCTCAGATTCTGGTACCAATTCCAAAACAGGGGTGGAGAGGGGTGACTGTGGTTCCCCACACCACCAAGCAATTCTCCAGCTGGTTGTCCTGCAATTCAACTCAGTTCTGACTCTTACCTACCTACAGATAGCTTCAGATTCCACCAGTTTAGGGCTCAGCTGTACAAGACTGTCGCCCCACCACAGACACACAGACACACTTCAGACCCCAGTTGTCACCTGTGCTTCTGACCGACCAGCTATAAATGGGAGATTCCAGTGGTGTCTCCCTCTTGATTAATTTGCTAGAGTAGCTTACAGAATTCAGAGAAACATTTTATTTACTAGACTACCAGAACCATTTCTGTCTCTCTGGTATAATAAGTATACTGGAAGCATGACCAGGCTCTTGTGGTTTAGAGAATGAAGATCTAGTCTTAGAAAGACAGACCCCTGCTTGGATGTTTCTGGAGACCTGAGTTTTGGGTTCCCCTTTGGTGAATGGCTTGTGGAGACAACAGTGAACTACCCATAGTTCCCAGCACAGAAATCATGGAGGAAACTTTGGCTTCACATTCTGTGCAAACTTCTATATTTGGTTCTATCCAGGTTGTATTTGAAAGGTGGGCTTGTTCACAACTATGAAGAGCAACATGAACTCAGTGAAACCTCCTAAGATTCTGCAGGGCAGATCTTTGTGTTATTTTTAATTACCTCAGGACCTGAAGAGGGCATTGCTATAGAAAAGGGGTCTGGCACATGTAAAGCTGATAAGGAAAAAAACAGAATATGAGGAATTTCTGGGCAGGCTGCTGGAAGTATGTAACAGCTAAAGGCCTTTCCAGTGCACAGCTGTGTAACTCCTGGTCCTCGTTGCCTTTCTACTCTTCCTGGCCCCCAGCATCATGAGGACGAAAGTGTATTCTAGAAACCTTTGGTCAAATTCCCTTTCATGGACCCTCCCTTTATAATTAATAGTGTCTTTCTTACTCTTGAGAAAAAGCTTACACCACCTGAGATGTATGTCGAGGTTGTAAGAGATGGGAGCATGGACTACTTGGATATTCTTCGAAGAAATCTCTGGTCCAAACCCCAGACCTGTGCGAGCTCCACAGGCAGTGCCATCCCCTTGGAGTAGAAAAGGCCATACCTTTTGGGCCTGCTTCAAATGAGTGTGAAGGGACCTTGCCACAGGTAGCCATTTTTGATTCAGAAGAAGTTATACAAAAAGTCAGAACATTTTTCTCACCTTAAAAGTGGTTACTGAATACCTCCTTTATTCAAAACCCTCTCTTCCACCAATTTTTTTGGAACATGTGTGAGTGTGTATGTGTGCGTGTGTGTGTGTGTGTGTGTGTGTGTGTGTGTGTGTGATCCAGTTCTGCTCAGACATTTAAGAAATCATCTTAAAAGCAGAAAACGGAATTATGTCCAATACATTTTTATGTATAGATTGGCCTAAGTCTCTTGGTATCCTAAAATACTTACTCCATTGTTTATTTTAAAGTAAGGCAACAGAAGCCTGGCTCAGGGAAGGGAGCTACTCCTGGAAGCCTCTTCAAGATTCACTTTTGAGGAAGGTACAAAATATATTTTTGTGGAACTAGTTCTAGAATGGGAAGGGAGCTCATGGTCACACTGATGGAAAACCTATGCTATAATGCTACGAAAGGTTTATTTTCCTCTGTGTGTGTGTGTGAGCATGCACCTATGTCTATGTTTAATTAACAATTGTGTGTCACAGTCAAGTGCAAGAAGGAAGCCTGATCACCTGCCCCCTAACACCCTGTGGTTTGAAAGTAACAAAATTTCTCTGAGCAGTGATATGCTGCTTCTCTGCCTTACTGTCACTTGGTACCACTTTTAAGTTCCAAACAGGCACTGTTTTTAGAGCCTTCTTGCTTTCCATTTCTGAGTGTTTTTCATTACTGTGCCTTTTGATCTTGGAAATGTATTCTTAAACTACAAATTATATGAAATATTACTACAACAAAACATACCTGTATTCTCCATGAAATTTTTTGTACTAGGATTTGACCTTCATTGCTAATTCTTGAACTGCTTTCCTACTTTGTGGCTTATATGCACTCCTATTTCTTCTGTCTGTTGACCATTTCAAAGCTTTTGTCTGGAAATTAAGCTGGTAAAATGACATAGAAGGCTCTCCCCTGATAGCCCCTTCCTTTGATACAAATTGAAAATGAGCCATGATAGCACTGGAGGACTTCAAAGTTTGACAGTTTTAAGAATGATTTGGAGAATCAAGAGGAAAAAGTTACTCTTACAAGTGAATTCAGAGTATTATTTTGCCCCAAATCCTATTTAACATAGATGAAAATCTGGGTTTATCATAGATCATGATTATACATTAGCTCTTTGAAGTTGTAATGTTGAAATATTCTTTGAACATATATTTTGAAGTTCTAACTGGAGATCTTAGAATAAAACTCCCCCTGGTGAAATGTAAAATGTGAAGAGGCAAAAGAAAAGTCAGACTGGAAGGAAAAAGAATCTTTCCCAACCATAACCAGGCCATGCAAATAGAAGTCAGATGGGAGAAGAAACAGAAGCAGAAATGGCTTTGTAATTCACGGAGCATGAAGCTTTTTGAGAGTGCCAGCCATAGGGAGCCACCGAGGTGGGAAGTCTCTCTGTTTTGGGAACACAAGCTGGAATTTCAAAGATAAGAAGACACGGGCCTTTCTCTGAAAGTGGTGGACTGTGATATCCTTTAGAGGGAATATCCAGAGCTGAGTACGTACTCATGCTAAGGAAAGTTATTCTGTCAATCTAGAAAGGTCTAGAGACCTTTGAAAACAATAGGAAGCAGAAAAGGCATACACTTCAGCATCTGAGAGGCCTGTGTTGGTACTTTGTAAATCACTTAATCCCTCTACGCCCAGTTTCTTCATCTGCAAATTGGTGATGATAATAGTAGGATTGTCAAAAACATTAAATGAGATCATGGGCATGGGGCACTTGGTGAGGTACCCGGCAAACAGGAGCCATTTAATTAATTGTAATCAGCACTCACTATCCAAATGATAAAGAACAGTGTATCTAGGGCTTTTGTTAGGAGAGATTTCTTATTATCATTACTCTGTTACTGAGATCCCTTGTAAAACCCTAAATTTGCTTTTGCCACTTTTTTCCTATTGGCAATTCACTCAGTGTCCCTCCCATCTCTCTCACACCCTGCTATTTTGTGCATTTGGTAAACTTCCAACTGCCAGTATCTGCCATTTTCCAGGCCAAGAGCTGTAGAAGACTGGGAGGTGGCAGGGAGGAGGTGAGGGCACTTAATGGCTTCCCACGAGCAGCCCTCGGTCAGTGACTGATGGGAGTGGATACACAAATGCCCAACCTCTCTTGCCTCTCAGATAGGATAATTGTGTTTCCCAGTGTTTCTCTGTGGACTAGACTCTTACCTGGCTACTGCACACTCTTTAATGTCTGCCTTCTCTTCTCCATCTCACTTTCTTTCTTATTGGGTTTCTTTCATTTCTCAAATCAGCTGTTAGAACTGGAATATTTATTGCTGAGTTTGATTCTGGGAGAACCCATGTGAAGTCATTTTCTTGAGAAAAAATAGTTGTCAAGTGGTCTTCTACCAAAAGATGTTTAATAATAGAAAAACTAAAGTGTTCTTTATATGGTTAACTCATATTTCCCTACACACATTATTTGGAGACAGTATTATTTAAACAGTGAAACAACATAAAGGTGATTTAAAAGAAGTATAAGGGCACCACTGAATTTATAATTAAATGCATTCACTTTAAGCATCTAAGATTAGGCATCAGTTTCATGAAATGCCAAAGAAAAACAATCTCAGATAAAAAGAGGTAATGATTTAAGAATAATAACAGTGTCAGTTGCAACTATTAAGTCCTCCTGAATTCAAGTGTCTCCACACAGTATTAACTGGTGTCCTTGGAATACTAGGTTATGTTGATAGCTTGACCAGGTTTATGGTAATGGAAATGAGTAGGGAATGGATAGTCACTCATATTCTTTTACTTCTTAGTTACTAAAACGTACACTAAAAAGTGCTGTTCTCTGCTATTCTCGTTCTCTTATTTGAGGAATAAAAGGAGAAAATAAATGGAAACAAAGTGTGAGCTCTTTCTTAACAAAAGGCACTTGATCAATATTCTTAAAGACAACAATGAGGAAGTCATAACTGCATAACCTGTATGAGTAGCTTAATTTTGGCAAAGGAAGGGACCGAACGGGACAGGAAGGCTAAGAGCATAGGTGGAACCCATCTATAATCATGGCTCCACATTTAATAACTGCTTTAATTCTTTATCATAAATATAAAAGCCAGTCCAGATACATGCAATATTTATAATAAATGTTGAGACCATGATATTATCATCATGAGGCCTGTTTGCATTCTTTCTCATGTGGACAAAGCCCAAATTTCTTGTCTCCCACAAAATTAATTTCTCTATTTCCTGCATTGGCCATATATCTGATTTTGGAGAGCTGTTCCATCTGTGTATCAGGTTGGCATGAGGTGAGACGTGTCCCTCTTTTACTGATGGTGCCTTACAGTTTGGACAACATATCTGATGTCTTGGCTTTGTCTCCTAGGATGGTTTACAAATGGTATCAGTGGTTGTAGCTTCAAAACAGCAGCTTTCAAACTTTTTTTTCTAGCAATTTAATCCTGTTTTCAAATAGAATATTTTGTTGAGCTCCGAAGTATAATAGATAACTTGGAAATACTGATTCAATAGACAGTTTAAACTGGTAGCAGACTGCTGTATGTGCTCAGTATACTTCACAATCATTATTCATGCAGAGACTCCAGGGAGATACAGTGGGAAATTTTACTTCCTAATTAAATTGCCAACCACATCTTAACTACTGCCTGCATTTTTCCATCATGAACATCCAACTCAGACAAGAAGCAGATGAAAATTCTAATAAGTACTGAAAGATTTATAATTCAATACTAAGACATTATCTGTTGGAAATTAACTTGTTTTTGAACGATTGGCTGTTATGTGATAAGGTTATATTCCAGGCAGATGAGTCTACATCTTACTTGGTATATAAATGGAAAGGGCACACTACAGTAGAATGGGGTAACTGGTGTGGGGACCTGAGTTCCCTTATCATATACCGCTTACAGAAAGTACAGTTTACTAAGAGAGGCTCAAAGAATGCATCCTTAGCAAATTATGCCAGGAGATTTCAGGCTGGGGGAGTTTAAGGAATGAATCATTTCTATTCTCCTTGGTACTACCTGTCTGAGATCCCATCTAGCTGCATGAAACCCAGAGTGGGGTCTCAACTGACACTTTAATTCAAAACTGTTACCCTGAAAATTCAGCGTGATACCCCAGCACGACTGCAAAATCTTACATTAACTAACCAGCCTAGTAACCTGGCTCTAATAATTCCTTGTTATGCCACTAGCACCATCTTGAAACATTGCTTACAGTTTCTGTAATAAGACCAAGTATTGCACATGTCCAATATATGACTGTATGTAGGCCTTGATAAATATGTGGGACTTCATTATACATCTTTAGAAATGAGACTAAGCCAGGCAGTCACCTTTAAAAACAAAAGACCAGAACTAATCCTTACTCTTACTAACAAGTAACATATTTAAAGAAACATTTATTTAAATAACATGTTTAAAGGACTAAATCCACAGATTTGGTAAAAGTTGCTTTATACTGAGGTTTGCACACAGGAATTTGTTAGCCAGGTGGTATCTTGGAAGAGGGTTCACCAAAATGTGCTAAAATCTGATACAAAACACATATGAGTTAGTGACTCCCAGTGTATTGCTACAGTGTTCAAATACACATAAAAATTTTTTTAATTTGGACCAAGTTATTTGTATGTAACACCTGAAACAACTTACCAGGATTTTAGGGGTCTAGAAACATAGCTTGAAAATAAATCCTAAAATGAGATCCTTGACTTGGAGGATTTTGATTATTGCCATTTTACAAGGAGAAAAAGCAAATAAAACAAAAAACAAAAAAAAAGACTTAGGCAAGATTACACAGTAACTCTGTGGCAGACCTGGAAAGTGAAGGTCAAGGTTTCTGTGCTGAAGTCCAGGAATCTAATTACCTAAATTTCCAATAAGTAGAATATAGAACCCAAGTTCCTAAAGAGAACTATATTATTTAATTTGGTATAAAATTCAAGTGGGAACTATTAGTTGCTAAAAATATAGCAATGGGATTTAAGTTCCTATTACTTTGACTTTGCTCTTGAATCCCTGTCTGATGGCTTGATAATGATAAAAAATTAAAGTCTAAAGCTATGCACAGGAACAGTCATTAGTCGATGAGGACAGAACCAATAGTGGGTAGGAATAGTAGGCCATGAAGTCATCTGTAATAATCTTCCTAATAGTTTTTGGGCCATGATGTGCTGAATATCAAACACCAGCTGACTCAGTTTGTAGGTTGTAAAGTGTCTGTGGACAACAAAGTGTCGTTTCTCCCTAAAATGATGCTAAAGTACATTCCCAATAGAATATCATTTTAAATGACCACCATTTAAAGAAATCCTTTTCCTCCAGAAGTAATATTCAGAACAGTCTGCTCTAGATTGAAGGCTTGGGTGGCTTTTTGTGTCCCATGGGAAATTTTGAACTTTTCCATCTGATCATCAAGGGGAGTCAGGGGAGCCTAGCCAGGGTGCTCACTTTGGAAAAACACAAGAAGTTCTGTGTTGTGGAGGAAAATGTAGGGGTGAGTATTCACTAAAGCCACTTAGTTTGCCCATTCAGAAGGTAAGTCCAAAGGATGGGAAACAATCTATAAATGGAAGGCAAAACCCAGAACAGCCATGAGGACATGTAATATCAGGGAGGCATGGATCGTGGAGAGGTCTCCTTCTATCCTTATTGATTTTCAAGTATGTGGCTTACTAGTTTTGAGGCTGGGTGTGAACATGTGCTTCGTGTCTGTGCCACCTTCTCATTTCTTTTTCCTGAGAAGCCCTGGGGTGGGGTGGGGTTAGGGCCAGCCAGGGTTAGTGTGTATGAGTCAGCAGGGAAGGTTTCATGAAAGAGTTTGACTGAAGACTTTTTATAAATAACTAATAATTGCATGAGGAGATAGGACATGTTTCAGGCAATGCTTATAAAGGAAATATTTTACGTGAAAAATATCCTATTTCCATAACGCATACTTGTACCCACTGGGAGTTCCAAAGTACTTTGCATTTAGCTGGGTTGTTAAGGGGTTTCTACCACTCTGCTTCTGAAATGACATCTGTTTTTTTTTTTCATTTTTCTTTTTGCTGTGAATACTTATAGGCTTTGTAGAGTAGACACAATGACCTGGAATATGCATCCTCAATAGATAAAAAGGTAGTTAAAGTACCTTCCATTGGAACAAGACCAAGATGCATTGTGATTAACCAAAAGTGCTCATTTTATTCCAAAGAGGGTGTGGAGTAAATGGCTCTGGTTCTGGGCCAGGTGTTTGACAACCTGGGCCAGTGGCAGCAAAGGCTGCGGTGTCAGGGCAGAAAGGATGTGCTGATGAACATTGTCGCTCCTTCTGGTGGCCGTCTTTCTCATCCTAGAGGGGCCTGGCTTAGATACTTCCTAGAGGGGCCTGGCAGGTCTAAAGTGAGTGGGAAAGGGACACAAATCGGGAAATACTTGAGCCTCATATTAAATAAAGACTGGGATGCAGGGACATCTTTCCCATCATTTGTCACAGCCGAAAGGACAGGCATCTCCCACAAAGTTGTTGAGATGACAGATACTTCCTGCATGAAAGCTCTGTGCTAACTACCTTTCTAAATATTCTTTCAAGCTCAAACTGGGATTACAGGAGGCATTCAGCAAATGAACACTGGCTGGACCAGCTGTTCCATCTATAACACGCTGAGGTCCTTCAGAGTGTCTGAAGCCTGGTAAAATTTGTCTGTACAGGTGCTTCACATGGAAAGCTATTATGTTTTCATTTATACTGGCATTTCACCAGAGGTATTCAAGCCTCCCAGAGCTGGAAAAGGTTACATTCTAAATGATAGGATACAAAGGAATTTCAGATCTTAGGGAGAGAAGCTGGAACTGGTGGGCAATCGCCCTACTGGTTCATAATGTGTCCTTGGTTTCTGAACTCCTTCAGCGTCTTGCCTGCCTCTGCCCTTCTCGATGCTTCTGTGCCAGATGCAATCACTGATTAACCCTCCTTTTCATTTTTATGTCAAACATTTCTATTGTCTCAGTGATAAACTCAGCCTGACTGGTGTGCTGCTGACCTTGCACTTGCTTTGAATTTGCTGGTCAGCTACAGTTTACTCCTCACGGCTTGCCTGAAGTTCGTATTACATGATGTGATGTGATGATGTGAGCAAAACAGATTAGAAATGGTCCAGAAGATTAGACCAACAAAACAATGGATGACTTCTGTCTCAACCACATGCAGATGGAAGAGAGGCGGATAGGATAGATACATCCTAGAGGGGCCTGGCAGGTCTAAAATGAGTGGGAAAGGGACACAAATAGGGAAATACTTGCACCTTCATATTAAAGACTGGGTTGCAGGGACATCTTTCAAGTCCTTTTAATTTGTTTAAGAAATAATTTCATCCTTGCATCTGAATATATTTGAACACAGGTGGAAGTTAAATACAGTGGAACCCACTGGGCTCCTGATGTTAAGGTGGGTGTCCTATACCTGCCTTGGGAGGTGGCTCCATAAGATGAGTTTTTTGATCCCTTCTTTGTTTCCATTGGAAAGGATGTCAGCATAGTTACTTCGTATCTTAGGGAACCTCCAGCCTGTCTGCATTCTGTGACACCCTTCCTCTTCTTTCTCTCCTCCTCCTCAGGACATACAGAAGAAGGTGGCAATTCCCTCACGTCCTTTTACCGTTGATTTTTAAAACACTTGCCATGTGCTGGCCCTGTGCCCAACATTTCACCTTCATCACCTTGTTTAATATTGCCAATAGGCAGCCGAGGTAAGCATTACCAGCACCATTTTATGGATAGAAACTGAGACTCAGAGGGGTAAAGAAACTCATGAAGGTCATGTAGCAAGTAAGTCGTATAGCTGAGACTCCCAGGCAGGTACCGTTACAAAAGCTGCCCCACCCCCATATGACCTATCTGCATTAACTCTGAATCTGTGTTTTCGTTAAAAACATTTGGAAAAAGAGAGACCAATCTTTTGGGTTAAAAATGAATTTCATATACTTGCATCTCAAAATACTTTTAGATAAACGAAATAAGAAAAGTTGATGAGTCCACGTGTTCTCAGGGACTGGAGTAGCTGCTGTTCCCATAGCCTTGTGTCTGTTTCATCAATATGAGTTATGTTTCATTAAAAAGACCCACAGAAACAGAAAGCTGGACAGTTTAAAGTCATCTTTAGAGGCTTGACAGTCAGTGACTGTTTCATTATCCTTTATTGCTATGTCGTGAGAGCAAATTGAGATCTGATCACAGAATATGGTTTTGTTCCTCTCCATATTCTAGACACAAAGTGCCTTAAGCTGTAGTGACCTCTACTCACACGAGACATGGTTGGAGAGTCACAAGCAGTGTGGGTGATTCTCACCCAAGAAGCACCCCTCCAGTGGGCTGCTAGACGTCTCTGGATGAAATGCGACAGCTGTCCAGGAGGGCTTAGGAAGACTGAATGCTGAGAGTAGCTGTGTGGGTCTTGTGCATGGTTGGGAAGTAGATCATCATTATGCAGATAGGGATTAGTCTAAACCCCAAACACTGAACTGTTACCTTTATGAAACAACATGGCTTTTGTGATCTGACTATTCAGCAACTCAAGGCCAAAGGAGTTTCAATAAAAAGAGGAAAAGCACAAAGGTGGATTAGTTTTGCCCTCGGGACAGGGCTTTGCCTCTGACACTTGGCATGTATTTGGACATAGTACATCCCTCCGCGGTGGACTTCAGGTGCTTGGACACGTGTTTGGGCACCCCAGCCGCTGGTGGGCTAGGGGAGCTCTTGCTGCTGGAGCTCATCGGCAGCTATCCGTGGGTCCTCCTGCTGTTCTTACCCCCGTGAAGCGTCCTGCCTTACCAACCCGCACAGTGAGCGCTTGTATCCTCTGGCACCACCATGAACTTTTGGAGCTTTGCATCTGCTCTTGAGTCTGGTTGTTTCAAATTATATATTAAACCTTTCCAAAATCTGAATGGGCACTTGAAAATTCTTTACACTTGTAACTGAAAAATTTTGAGCCTTTCTAGCTCATTTGGTTGGAACTTTCTCTTGTTTGTTATGAATACGCTATTAATTCTCAGTTCCTGCAAGTATCAAATTTGGTATGTTCTCTGTTTATTGTTAGTTTTTAAATGGCTCACTATCCCTTGATATTGAAACTCCTTTGAGTTTCATCACTCATGCCACGATGGTGGCATTGGTCATGCCAAGCAAGTCTGAGGTTCTCTGAATCAGGGAAGATGAAAAAAAATCAGAATCTTTACGATTTCAGTAGTAATGGGGCCAGACTTTCCAGTACTCTAAAAGGTGTAAAATCACTGCTATCCCAGACTGCAAGACTGTTTAAGCACCCATAAAGGAAATTTTTGTTTCAGGAGATCCTTTCTTCTCTCGGTATCACATTCAGTGTCCCATAAACAAAGCCTAGTGCCTGTTTGTCCTGTTAGCCACCTAAAGACTTGGTTCTCACACACTGTACCAGTTGACTTTTATTTACCCTGTTAGAATAAATAGTTTGGTATCCATTACAGGCAGCCTTGCAAATAATGTTCAAGAATCATCAGGTTCACGAAAATCCTTTCGGCCTGAAATATTTTCACTGATCCTACTTCACCTATTGCGCCCAAGCAGCCCTTCTATAGTTTCCTTCTCCTTTCCATTGATGTCCCCTCTGAGTCACAGGGCCTGTGGTCACCCCTATCTGGGCAGGCACACTCAGAGTTCACCCTGTTGGATCACAGATTCTTACGTCTACCGCAGGAAGTGGGAAGATGCTATGAAAAGGAAATATGTCAAGTTCATCTGGCCAGCATCTCATGATACTTAGTTGTCATATGAACCAATATGCTTTCATGAGTCTCATAGTCTTTAAATTTTTTTTTAATTGTAGCAAAATATTCATACATAGAATTTACAGTTTTAACCATTTTTAAAAAGGTACTCAGGTCAATGGTATTCACACTGTTGTGCAACCATCACCATTATCCATCTGCATAACTTCTTTCGTCTTGCAGAGTGGAAACCCTGTACCCATTAAACACTAACACTCCTCTCTCCTCTCTCCCTACAGCCTTTGGCAACTACCATTCTACTTTCTGTCTTTATGAATTGGACCACTTCAAGTATCTCGTGTAAGTGGAATCATACAACATTAGTCCTTTTGTGACAAGCTGATTTCACTTAATGCCTTCAAGATTCACCTATAGCATGAGTCAGGATTTCCTTCCTTTTTTAAGGCTGTGCAATATTTTATTGTATGTGCAATTGTGTTTATCTGTTCTTCTGTTGATGGACACTTGGGTTGCTTCCATCTGTTAGTTATTGTGAATAATGCTATGAACATGGGTGAACAAATATTTTTTCAAGCCCTTGTTTTCAATGCTTTTAGGTATATATCCAGAAACTGAATCATATGGTAACTCTACTTTTAATTTTTTGAGGACCTGCCCTACTGGTTTCTACTATTGTTGCACCATTTTACATTCCTACCAGCAGTGCACAAGAGTTCTCTTTCTCCACATATTCACCATTTATTTTCTGGATATTTTTTATAACCATTTTAATAGGTATGAGGTAGTATCTCATTGTGGTTTAATTTGTCTTTCCCTAATAATTAGTTATGTGGATCACCTTTAATGTGTGCATTTTCTTTGGAAAGCTGTTCAAGTTCTTTGCTCTTGTTTAATTGAATTGCTTAGTTTTTTGTGGTGGTGTTGTAGGAGTTCCTTGTTTTTCTGGATATTAACTATATTAGATAGATGATTTGCAAATATTTTCTTCCATTCCATGGGTTGCCTTTTCACTCTGTAGATAGTGTCCTTTGATGCACAAGTTTTTAATTTCGCTGTAGTCAATTTATCTTGTTTTCCCTTTTGTTGCCTCTGCAGCCTTTGTTGTTTTATATTAAAGCTCTTCAGAATGTTTTTTATCCTAATGGAATAGTCTTGCTTACTTTACTCTTTCCTCCAGCTTTGTATTAGAGACCTTTAATTAACCTCACTGCTAAATGCTTTTCACTCCCACAGCCATTGAAGTCCGGCCTGGAGTGTTGCTCCCCCTGCAGGGTTAGTGAACACGCTGTGGAGCTAAGGGGCCTTACATCCCCATGCTGACTTTTACTTATGCCTTCCCTGAAACTGGAGCTGTGTTCTAAAGATTGACATTTTCTTTGGTTTGCTTGATAGCCTCAGAATTCCATCTACTTGTTCACTGTCCATTGGTGCTTATATTTATTTCTATTTGTGTAGTTAGTTTGATCTCTGTCGGAGAAATTAATGAGCATCCTAAATACCCTTATCTGGGTCAGGTATTCTTTTAACTTCCCCCTTTAGACAGTTTGAACCCCCTTTTTGAACAAAAGCTTAAGTGGAAGCTCAGCATCACTGATAGGAGCAGCAACTGCACTGTTTGAAGCAGGGGATGAAGAGGTTCAGTCTGCTACTTTCCCTCCTCCAGCACCTGCAGCTTTTCTCTGAACCTGGATGGAGGCTGTGTGGAGTCTGCTCAGCACAGAAAAGCCTGCTGACGGGGTGAGAAACGGTATGTGATCATTCACTTCCCTTTTCCTCAGTCCTGCTCATATCAAAGCAGTTCAGTTTTTTATGTTAAATGTATTGAAGAGTCCATGTAACTGACATTCAATTTAAACAACAGGGCTTTCTGCCTGAAATAACCGTTCAAAGGTTCCGTATCTATCTTACTGGCCAGACAATAACCCACATGGAGCTGAGGACTTCAACTGGCATACACCTCTTGCAACATCCCCATGTGGATTCTGACCCAATTTATTGATGAGTACTTTGTATAAGGAAGATTCAAAAGCAGAGGAGAGTCACCTGGTAAGGAGGCCAGATACTGAGACACAGAAATTTAATTTTGATCCAAATTTTAAATGAGAAGGCAACCCAGAGATCATTAGCCCAGAGGCTGCAAATTGTGTTTAGTTTGCACAGCATTTTAAAAATTAGTCACCAGCATTAAAAAATCAGAAACGTTTATATAAAAATCCTGACTCTACCTCCCCTTGAGAAAATAGAAGATCTGACAACACTAGGCCTATCACTCTGTATGGCAGTGATGAATCACCAAGGGGGCTTAAGACAATCCCAGGGTCTAGTCTGCATTCCAGACAAATGAAATGATATTCTTCACAGTTAGTACCCAGTCAGCAGCATAAAATTGTGATTAAAAACACATTAAATTTACTACATAAAAGATGTGTTTAATTTAAACACATTAAAATTACCATCTTAATCATTTTTAAGTGTACACTTCAGTAGTGTTAAGTATATTCACACTATTGTGCAATAGATCTCTAGAACTTTTTCATCTTGCAAAATTGAAACACTATACCCATGTTATAGGATTTCCTTCCTTTTCCAAGGCATACTATTTCATTATGTATATATACCACATTTTGTTTATCCATTTATCTGTCATTGGATATTCAGTGGGTGGCTTCCATTCCTGGCTGTTGTGGGTATGCAAATACCTCTTTGAGATCCAGCTCTGAATTCTTTTGGATATATATCCAGAGGTGGGATTATTGGGTTATGCTAATTTTATTTGATTTTATTTTGAGGAACCTGCCTACCACTTTCTGTCATGGCTGCACCATTTTACATTCCTGCCAAGAATACACAAGGGTTTCAGTTTCTCTAGGCCCTTGTCAACAACCTCTGTTTTCCATCCTTTCAGCCACTGTCATGTGTGTGAAGTGGTATCTGACTGTGGTTTTGATTTACTTTTCTCTTGTTTTTAGATATGTCAAACATCTTTTCATACGTTTGTTGGCCATTTGTCTATCTTCTTTGGAGAATTGTCTATTCAAGTCCTTTCCCATTCTTCAATTGATAATTTGTTTCTTTGTTGTTGAATTGCAGAAGTTCCTCAGATATTCTAGATATTAACTCTGTATCAGGTATATGAATTTCAAATATTTCCTCCTATTCACTTTCTACCATTCACTCTGTTGATAGTTCTTCTGCTGTGCACAAGTTTTTAAGTTTGATATAGTCCTATTTGTCTATTTGTGTGTGTCATAGTAGTTTCTTAAAATACTTCTTTTTCCTATGACATCAGTTACATTGTCCCCTCTTTAATTTAACTTTAGTTGTTTGAGTCTTATTTTTTCTTAATTGGTCTAGAGAAGGGTCTGTCAATTTTGTTAATTATTTAAAAATCCAAGGCTTACTTTGGTTTTTTTTCTTTTGTTTTTCTATTTTCTATTTTATTTGACTCTGCTCTAATCTTTCTTAATTTCCTTCTGCAAATTATGGTAGTTCATCCTTCCTTTTCTAGTTCCTTGAGGTGTAAATTAGGTTTGTTTGAGATTTTTTTTTCTTTTTTTTAAGGTAAGAATTTACTGCTATAAACTTTCCTCTTAGTACTGTTTTTGCTATATCCTATCAATTTTGGTATGTTTTGTTGTTGCTCTTGTTTGTCTCCAGATATTTTCTAAATTCTCTTATAATTTTTTTGACCTATTTGTTGTTTAAGAGTGAGTTGTTCAGTTTCCACATATTTATGAATTTTCATTTTTTCCTTTTGCTTTTGACTTCTATTTCATTCCCCGTGGTCAGAAAAGATACTTTACATGATTGCAATTTTCTTTAATTTCTTCAAACTTGTTTTCTTACCTAATGTATGGTTTATCTTATAGAATGTTGCATGAGCACTTGATAAAATGTGCATTTGCCTGGTATTAGCTGGAATGTTCTGTATATATTTGTATAGTGTTGTTCAAATCTTCTATTTCCTAATTGATCTATTGTCTCGCTGTTCTATTTCTAATGGGAAATGGAGTATTGAAGTCTCCTACTATTATTGCATTGCTGTCTATTTTTCTGTTCAATTCTGTCAATGTTTACTTTATATATTTCCTCCCTCCCTCCCTTCCTTCTTGGAAGAAGAGTGGAACAGTACAAGAGCATTGATTTTTGACCTTTTTATTGATGTAGTATATGATGTTGACAGATTTTTGAGTATTGTATCATCCTTGCATCCCTGGAATGAATCCCACTTGATCATGATATATGATCTTTTTTATTTATTTTTGAATTTGGTAGAATCCTGACAAAAAGGACTGTATTTTGTACACTTTTTATTATCTTTTGTGGTATAGTGTTTATTTGTATAATTTAAAATCAAGTTCAGGTTTGGGTGTGTGGGTATGTAACTATGAAAACTCACTGTTGTGAGGCTGCAGCAATGAATGTACTTCTAATTTGGATGATGCTTTGAAAGGGATTTAACCTCTTTGGCTGTCTCCTTTGAACAACAAATGGAAGTTGGGATTCCTGCTGTGTCAGTTCATGGTCATCAAGAATTCTCTGGGTTTAAAAGTGTTCATTGATATCAGATAGACTGCAGACAGTCCATGTCAATTCATTGGAAAAATCTTGTAAGCCAATATTTATTTTTCCTAGCTCCTCAAAGAGTTTCTATAACAAAAGACCAGAGACCCTTCAGACAAGCATAAGAAAGCAGGGCTTAATATAAGACCACACATTATAAAAATTTGAAAAATATTTGAGTTCTAAAGCATCTTTATGGCCTAGCTACTTTTCCAAGGCCACGTTGGTGGGGCTGTTTTTCTCAGAAAAGGTTAGAAGGGAGAAGAAGGGAGAGGTACAGTGGATAAGCTGTAGGATGTTTTAAGACTTATCCAGTACAGATTTATATGGGAGCAAGCCAGATACATTTGGCACCTTAAAAAAATTGTGTCAGTTTCTTTTTTATTTTAACATTGTTAAAAACTCATTTTAGCTTCTATTTTGCCTTATTGAAACATTACATAATCATCTCATGTTGCAACAAACTATGTCTTTAAAGCCCTGTGATATGTTTTTTATAATCAAGTGCAATAAAAAATTAACTGGAATATGAGAGATACTTTTCTTCTTAATTATAAGCTACTATTACCAAAATTTACAAAATAAATTTTGTGTGGTTATTTCTTATACAAAATAAATACAACATTGGGATTTAGTGTTAACTATTCAAATTATTATGCATAGTGACATAAAATATTAAAAATTCAGAAAATTACCTAATTTAGTAAATTATAACATCTATTAGGATGATTCCTTAGTTATTCTTGTGGAAATGAGAGTTGGACCTCATAGCTGAAAATATATATTATTTTTATGGTATCCATCCAAATATACCCTGGAATGACGCTGTAGGTTGTGGGAATCCTGACAATATGGTTGTATTTTGTATACTTTGTATTATCTTTTGTGGTATAGTGTTTATTTGTAAAATTTAAAATCATGTTCAGGTTTGGGTGTGTGGGTATGTAACTATGAAAACTACAGCTATTCACCTGTAGGGTTTCACAACTATATTCAGTGAATATATTTTCTTTCAATGCTCAAGGGCTTCTATTTTGTATGTATGTTTGCCTTCATATGCTTACTTCACAATCTTAAAAATCAGGTCTTATACGTGTTTACGTTTAAATATTCTGTGTAGTCATCTGGATTGCTTTAAACTAGTTTTAGCAATAAAAGAGGTATTTTAAGTCTTCATTCAATGATATCACACCTTCCCCATAATACGTACTTTAGGAATTTTGTCCTGTATCCCTTCTGAGACTGTGCTTCTTTTTGCTCATTAAATAGGAAGCAAGACATTCTTCAACGAACTGGAACAAATAGTTCTAAAATTCATATGGAACCACCAAAGAGCCCAAATAGCCAAAGCAATCCTGAGAAGGAAGAATAAAGTGGGGGGATCTCGCTCCCCAACTTCAAGCTCTCCTACAAAGCCACAGTAATCAAGACAATTTGGTACTGGCACAAGAACAGAGCCACAGACCAATGGAACAGAATAGAGACTCCAAACATTAACCCAAACATATATGGTCAATTAATATATGATAGAGGAGCCATGGACATACAATGGGGAAATGACAGTCTCTTCAACAGCTGGCGTTGGCAAAACTGGACAGCTATATGTAAGAGAATGAAACTGGATCACTGTCTAACCCCATACACAAAAGTATTCGAAATGGATCAAAGACATGAATGTAAATCATGAAACCATAAAACTCTTAGAAAAAAACATAGGCAAAAATCTCTGGGACATAAACATGAGTGACTTCTTCATGAACATACCTCCCTGGCAAGGGAAACAAAAGCTAAAATGAACAAGTGGGACTATATCAAACTGAAAAGTTTCTGTACAGCAAAGGACACCACCAATGGAACAAAAAGGCATCCTGCAGTATGGGAGAATATATTCATAAATGACAGATCCAATAAAGGGTTGACTTCCAAAATATATTAAGATCTCATGCACCTCAAAAAAAAAAGCAAATAATCCAATTAAAAAATGGGCAGAGGAGCTGAATAAGACAGTTCTCTAAAGAAGAAATTCAATGGCCAACAGGCACATGAAAAGACACTCCACATCGCTAGTCATCAGAGAAATGCAAATTAAAACCACAGTGAGACATCACCTCACACCAGTAAGGATTGCCACCATCCAAAAGACAAACAACAACAAATGTTGGTGAGGTTCTGGAGAAAGGGGGACCCTCCTACACTGCTGGTGGGAATGTAAACTACTTCAACCATTGTGGAAAGCAGTATGGAGGTTCCTCAAAAAGCTCAAAATAGAAATACCATTTGACCCAGGAATTCCACTTCTAGGAATTTACCCTAAGAATGCAGCAGCCCAGTTTGAAAAAGACAGATGCACCCCTATGTTTATCGCAACACTATTTACAATAGCCAAGAAATGGAAGCAACCTACATGTCCATCAGTAGATGAATGGATAAAGAAGATGTACATATACACAATGGAATATTATTCAACCATAAGAAGAAAACAAATCCTACCATTTGCAACAACATGGATGGCGCTAGAGGGTATTATGCTCAGTGAAATAAGCCACGCGGAGAAAGACAAGTACCAAATGATTTCACTCATCTGTGGAGTATAAGAACAAAGCAAAAACTGAAGGAACAAAACAGCAGCAGAAACAAAGAACCCAAGAATGGACTAACAGTTAACAAAGGGAAAGAGACTGGGGAGGATGGCTGGAAAGGGAGGGATAAGGGGGGTGGGGGGAAATAAAGGGGGCATAACCATTAGCATGTATAATGGGGGAGGCATGGGGATGGCTGTGCAACACAGAGAAGACAAGTAGTGATTCTACAGCATCTTACTAAGCTGATGGACAGTGACTGTAATGGGGTTTGTCAGGGAGACTTGGTGATGAGGGGAGTCTAATAAACAGCTATTCTCTTTTTTATATGTGCCACTTGCCTTTGTAAATGCTGAAGTTCTTTAGGAACAATGAAATTGTTCCTTCTGCCTACCTCGCTCACAGCTGACCCTATACTAACAAGCAGTCAGGGCACATTGGTATGATGCTATCATCCTTCTATTGTGCCCAGCTCTGTGACATGATGTGACACTGTAGGGATCTTGGGTAGGGCTTGCTGACCATGCAGAGAATGATGCTGTTTAAACACTAAGTGTGTCACCTATGTGAGGTCATTGGTGGCCTGAGAAAGTTTTCCCATGTTATCATTTTATGCCCTTGGGACACATGAGTGCCAGGGAGAACTGTATCCCAATGGATAAATACCTATTAATGATTTTGGTGATAGTGGCACTAAGTAGTATAAAGTAGCAAAAACTTAGTCTACTGTCCTCTCCTATACCTGTCCCTCCAACCCAGTAGGATTTGGTTCATGGCAGGTCTAGACCAAATGTGCCTTTTCCTTAGACCCATATTTTGGACACCAGGGCAACTCTGAGCCTTATAGTCACTCTTGTTCAATGGCACTTAAAATTTTTGGAGTTATGAATCCCATTGAAAATCTAATGAAAGAATGAACTCTAGCGTAAATAAAGGTAAACACATAGAACATTTTAGAAATGATCACAGTGTCTTCATAGATTGCCCTGAATTTCATCTTAGGGTCCTCTAAGGACACTAACTTTTGCTGTTTGATTACCATCTGAGCAGTGTGTGAAGCATGTCACCGAAGTCATCTCAGTCAATCCCTTCAGTGACCTTAGACAGGTTCTATGTTATACTCATTCTGCAAGATGAGGAAACAGAGGCATTGAGAGACTCAGTAGCTAGGTTACCCAGGAAGTCAGTACAGGTGCTCAAACTGGAACCTAGGCAGTCTGATGCCAGAGCAGGAGACCCTTGGACTCCAGTTTGAGAACTCTTGCTTTGGAGAATTTGATGTAGTTCCAGGCTGAATTCTAATCCTAAGAAGCATCAGGAACATTGGACAATCATAAGAATTCTGAGTCTTTAAGGGGCTTCAGGGTGTGGCCCATAGATCAGCAAGCAGCTTTGATGTCACTTGACAGTTTGTTAAAGATTCAAAATCTCAGATCTCACCCAAGAACTATGGAGTTTTAATAAGATGCTCCAGGAGCTTTGCTTGCACATTAAAGTTTGAGAAGCTTTGGGTCAGATCACTCAGCACCAGCAATTTTGACACCCTCTGAAACCAATTTGAGCTTAAAATGAAAGTTTTGGTAACTTTTGTTAATACTTCTGATGGGTCCCGGTGATACAACTGGTAGAAATGGTGGTGTTGGGCAGGAGGTGATATAGAGAGAGGTGGAGTCTGTACTAAATAAGTATGTGTGAGAACAACATATTGGCCCCAAACAGGTCCCCCTGTTCTCATGTAACTGGAAGGTCTAGTCAGCACCTTCCTTTAAAATGATACTATTCTGGAATTGAGAAACATATTTATAAAAATGCCATTTTCACTTGTTAGCCTTATGCCTTCCAGCAGCACAGGATGATTCTGGGTGATATGAGTGTACGGATAGCCATCAAAGCTTCAGAAAGGACAGCTTTAATTTCTCTGGAATATTTCCTGCCAGATACCATTTCCACGGTCAGTCTTTAAGAGTCAGTGGGGAATGTGTCACACCTGGTAAACAGGTGTCCTCTGAGCTGATTGCTCAGTGTGTCCATTCCTGATATTCCAGCTTTATTTACCTGGCTTCTGACATCAAATGTTACTCCCATAGATCTTTGGTGCCAGTGCCTTCCTTAGTCCGAATTTTCTCTTGAATTGCTATCGTCTTCCATTGGGTTTTGCAAGTAACCTCTTCTTGTTTTTAAACTATAGTAAATTGAATTTCCTGTGGCTAAATAATGGTATACCCCTGAGGTGGGGCTTTTACTGAACAGTAGTTCTTTATTTTACAGTCAGATCTCTCAGGTTCATAGTGGCATAGTGGGATAAAATGAGTAAAATGCACTCATAGTCATGCATTTTCTGTGAGAACCTGAGACCAGTAAAGATTTTTTAGCTAATTTAGTAGGTTCTGGAATAGATATTGGGTTTTGGTGATGATGGTGGAGCAATTGTTATTTGAACGTTAAGAGAGCTGTGTGTGTTTTTCTATCTCTGAGCAGGGAGCATGAAATCTATTTAGAGATGTAACCAACAGCTGAGAATGAAGTCTCTGAAAACAAGCAAAAAAGTCACTGCTAATAATTTTGATTCCTGTACTAAGTGCTCTATAAAAATGGTGCTAAAAATTTCTCTCTTAAAAAAATCTTATTTCATTATATTTTAAAGTATGGCACAGCTTCTTCAAGTGGTAAAGCTCTAGAGGACACAATGTTTCAGTATGTTTAATAAGAGAATCTGCATTTGAGTCAACTAAAAACAATCACACAAGATTGAAATTACATTTAAATGATTATCAGTGAGACATATTGTTATTTTGTTTGAGTATAGTATTGCTTAAGATGCAAAGAAATACACGTTCTTGTCATTAGATAAACAAATATGCCATTTAATATGTGGGACCTACTATCCCTGAGAACTTCGCTTTCTCTGAAATGAAACAAGTGATGACTGAAAGAATAAATAATGTGTAAACTCTTCAGCTGGGAGAATATTTCAATGTGAGATGTAGATACATTAAGGTATCTTGTTGTGTAGATTAATTTTTTGTTAATTAACCATTATCCCAAAATCAGAGTAAACAGCTCCTTGCCACAGGAATACAGGAACCACTGCAGACCTTGGGAATGTCAGGCAGGAAAATAGATATGAGCGGGGTCGAAAGAGAATAAGCCTACTAAGCCAGAGTTAATCAGTTAGAGCGCAAAAAGCCAGGAGTAACTTGTTCTAGAATGTTTGAATATTCCCCAGATAAAAGAGGGTACCTCAGCATAGCCCATGTCTTTATTGTGTTAAGCATGCAGGCCCAGCTTATTTTTTAACTTTACTTATACACTGTTTTTTTTCTCCTTTGGCCCTAATCAAGTAATTTGCAACCTGGGCAACTAATTGAGCATGTAGGCCCAGCTGTAAACAACATAGTAAAAGGCAGGAAGGATTCCATCTTAAAGATAAGATTGCATTTTAATACCCAGGAAGTAGAAGTAATTAAGAAGTAAATTCTTAACTTACTCTTCAGCAAACAAACAATAACTCTGCACACCTTGGGGGGCTGAGCAGGCACTCTTGTTTGATGTGCTTCCAGACCAAGATGCCATATCCCAGGGAGAAATCAGAGCAGTAAATTCCTTGTGTTAATTTAATTTCAAATATTCAGAAACCACTCAACAAGTCTGCACCCCCAGCCCTTAGTCACATTCCTGAAGAATCCTTATAATGGGGAACCTCCAACATTTCAGGGCACTCCTCTCTCTCAGGTTGCCTGC